CCTGAAGCTGCTTTAATTATGTGGTGTGGCTACTACACCCTCACTATCCCCAGATAAAAAGCCTGTGGGGAGACAGAGCTCTTGCTCCGCGGGTGGCAGCCTTCTCCTCCACTCCCCCCCCCCCGGCAGACACTACAGTCATCCCTCCATATTTGGGATTTGACTTTTGCAGATTTGATTATTCATGGATTTTATTAATATGTTATCTCTAGAAATATCTAGGTTGTCCAACACAATTCTATGGTCAACTTTAACCAAAAGTCTTACTGAAGGACCTAAGATTCCTATAGGGAACACTCCACTAGGCATTTGTCACTCCTCCAGCGCAATTCTATAGTCAATGTTTGGCAGATGTTGACCACAGAATTGCACTGGAGGAACTAGAGATTCCCAGAGAGGTGTTATCTCAGGTAAAAACCATAGTGTTTTTGTTATATGTGGTTGTTCCACATTCATGGGGGTCCTGTGCCCCTAACCCTAGTGAATGGGGAGGGACCACTGTATTTTTGTTTGGGAAACCTTTTAAAGAGAAAGGAAACAGACAGAGAACATCTGGAGGGAAAGAAGCGAAAGAGAAACCAGAAAAGGTTAGCAGGTTCCTTTCTCTTGGGGAGCCAGACAGGACAAGAAGTGCTTTAACACACACACACACACACACACACACCGTATACAGGCAACTCAGGTCCCATCCACACAGCAGAAATAATCCAGTTTCATACCGCTTCAATTGGCCTGGCTCAGTGCTAAGGAGTCCTGGGGTTTACAGTTTATTGTGGCACCAGAGCTCTCTGACAGAGAGGGCCAACTGTCTCACAGAATACGCTTCCCAGGATTCCACAGCCCTGTCTCAAAGCAGTCTCAAACTGGATAATTTCTGCAGTGTGGACAGAGGTTAAGTATGCAAGGGGATCTCGGAGCACTTGGAAGTTGGTAGCCTAAGCTTCCCTAGACTTAACTCCCTCAGATTCATGGAGTGACTCCTTGCATTTGATTATAAGTAGACTTAAATCTAGGAAAGCTTAGCCTACCAACTTCTTTTAGTTGGTTTTTT